CTGCTGGATGCTGGGGTGCCCAAGGTAAAAACATAGTCAGCTTCTGGGTTGGAGGCATATGGTAACAAAAAACTGAAATATGACAAAGGCTATAAAAGGGGAGAGTATAGAACCATACTCTCCAAATGGACACATGACTTCCACTTGTAGAGAGAGGAAGAGAGGAGGGCGCTGTGAATGCCAAAAGTGCATTCCCCTGGAAAGAAGAAAAAGGTTACAAGGCACTGAGGTCACAACTAGGAAATTAGAATTAGCTAATACAGCTAAGATTATTGGTAAGCTACCTCAATGATCAGATAAGACAAAATGGGACTCTCAATCAGAAGCAGGTCCTAACAGTAAAGACATGGAGTGATAGATGTGCATTACAAAGTGTAGAAATTAGGAAGAAAAAATGAGGGAAGCAGGGAAACATAAGGTGAGCTGAGGAGACAGCAACCCGTACTCTGTATTCAACTTCCATCTTTAGAAATTTTTATGTCGAGTTCCAAACTATAAATTGATGTTAGACTAAGAGCAACAGAAGTATAAGTAAAATTAAAAATTCACTCAAATCACTTCCACCACAATAAATGTAACTATTTTCTTTTTTTCTTGATGGTTTACAGTTGTTGGTCATACACACATACATACACGTCTTGGATGGTGGCATGAAAATATAGAAGCAATTAATATTTTGCTTTTCTAGTTAACAATATAACATTCACATATTGACCTTATGTCTATCATATATTTCTGGAAATATTTTTCTAATCTGTGGATTCATACATATACAATAAAGGTTTTAAAGAGTTTTAAGTAGATTTGCCAAAATTTACCTTCCTTTAGAGTTTGTCTAAGTCATAGGCAATATTTTATTATCATAAACAATGTGGCAATAAACTTGTTTATACATTTTTCCATTTTAAATTATTTCCTTATGATTCACTCCTGGAAGAGAATTAATATGTCAAAGTATGTAAATATTTTAATAGCTATTGATAAATATTTGGTATTGTTTCTGTAAACCATGCATGTTTAAATAACTCTCTCCCATCTAGTCTCTACATTATTTGAGACTAGGGACTATGCTTTTACATTAATGGACCAGAATGTAGTACATTGCTTCATACAAGACAGATACCCAATAATACTAAACAATTGTGGCTAACTGATAGTTTCCACCAACTATCCACTCTTTCCCCTTTTAAGGGCATGATTTGCATTTTTTAAATGATGTAGCAAAAACCCATCTTGAAAGTGACTTCTTTTAGCCTCCCATGAAAACTATGCATAGCTACTGGTAGATGTGAAATTAAATCCTGACAATTAGCATTATGCAGGATTTTCAGGGAAGCTCCCTAAAAGAAGATGGCCTGGTTGGTATATTTCCCTGCTACACTTCCTAGAATCATCATTCATGCTGTGTGGACTATAGAGGTGACAGCTAGAGCTCCAGCAGCCACCTTACACAATGAGGTAATTCTGAAGATAGAATTCGAGTACTAGGATAATGAAGCAAAAATGAGAAGGTGGTTAGATTCCTAACCACAGTTACGACACCTTCCCTTGAATTCCTGCCTCAGGGCTTATTTTATATAAGAGAGGAATAAACATTTATTTTACTTAAGCTTATTTTATTTCTGAGGTTGATTTCTAATAGGTAAACTAAATAGCTAATGATAAAATAATTCTGAATGAACTAAATAGTTAAAAATGTTGAACAAAAATATAATATAGCATTTGACCTCAACCTTGAGTATATAAGTATATATATAATTTTAAATTTTACAACTTAATCATTTTGTAAATTAAAAATGCCAACTCATTTGTTAAAATTCACATTCATTTTATTAGTAGGAATGTTCATTTTAGTACTGTATTTAATAGATGGTGAAGAAACCATTCATCTCTTGGCAACTTATTTTTTTGAATCCTAGAACTTTGTTATGAGTTTTTATGAACACTTCATATGATATGAATGTACTGTGAAAAGTAAACCATGAAATCACATTAATTTCTTCTCATGCATTTTCATGCATATTTGGGAAATCTGTTGTTTTTCAACATTTTACATTTGTATATTTCCTTCTAATTTTCTTTGTAATCCTTCAGAGAAGATATATTCATCACCCCTACGGAAAACTGGCAAATATTCACATTTATTTACACCCATTTCCCTAAGATTACATTTTGAAATTTGAATGGACCTGAAATTGAATTTTCTCAATTGTTTCTCTGAATTGAATTATTTTCACTTAATTTTGAAGTGTCTTCATATATTAAATATATCAAATAACCAGATCTTGAATCCCGGGTCTCACTAACAAATTTCTTCTTGAATATATTTGAATTTCTCATCTGCAATATTGGGAATAGTTTAAGGATAACCTGGGATTACACATGTCAAGTGCCAGCATGTGCCTAGCTCATACCCTCTGGTTTCATACAGTCCCTTTCCTACCAACTGAGCATTTTAGTGCATTCACGAAAAACAAGTTAAAATCAGCTATATTAGCTAGACGTTACTTCAATTCGTTATTTCTGGATTGTTTCTAAAATTCAAATAAGATTAGATTTCAAAGCTTACATCTTTAATTTGTACTTTACCGAGGTGCATGCCATCTAATTTTTTGGTTTTCAAATCAAGTTATATGTTCTTTATTTTTACAGAGGGAAGCAGGTTTCACTACAGTCACAGTGGTACAAGAATGGAACAAATAACTGCATAGTTAATTCTCTTCCTCCTAGATAAGCTTTCCACTGCTTTCCAAAATATTTGGATGTGATTTATGCCTGTTCCCGGGAAATTGGCAAGGTTTGCTGGACTCCGAATTTAGTGGAAACATTTAACCGAAGAAAGCTTCTGAGAGGTAAAACATTCATTTTTCTTTGCATTTAGTTCCCAAATGGAGACAAATAGCTTAAAAGCAATATTAACCTCTATGTGCTTGGGCTATTTATCTTCATAAGGAACAGCCTGAAAACAAGAAAACAAAGCCCATAAAAATGATTTTATTTAATCACACAAGTATATCTCACCAAAAATCTTTAGTTATTTCCTTAGGGCTTAATTCTAAGCTCAGTAACTCATGCACAAATTCTATGGATGTCAGTGGGAACTGTGGATGTGGAACTCTGGGCCAAATTTGGTTGTCATGGATGAATTAGTCAAAGAGGGCATTTGATCAATTTTTTAAAACACAAAGTACTCTCATTCTGTAATCCTTTTCCATCTTTCCAAATTTATTGACCTAATCCAGTAATAATTATTGAATCTCCATAATATACATCAAACCACAATTTCATGCATGCATCATAGAGTCACTGCCCTTAAAACATTTACCTTTCCACATAAATGTTAATAATCTTGCAGCAATATTTCATCCTAGCAAGAAGAGAGTTTTGTGGCATACCTTGTGACAAGGTCAATTTCACTTAAGGAAAAATGCTAACATTTTAAAAGTCAGCCATTAAATAGGGGCTATTATTGCATTTTCCTTATCTTGTTACAGGAAAATAATCTCATTTCACTAGTGCCCCAGTTATTTAGGTAGGTTTACAAATATTTATTCAAAGTCAAGATGTGTGAATGAAAAAATTTTTTATCATCCTCTAGGTTCCAAAGAAATTGTGTTTAAGAAAATTTGCCTTTATAAATGTTTATCTAGATATTTTTAGCATGTAAAATTTTCCCTGTAAGATAAAATCTTCTTCAAATGGCATACAACTTGTTAGAATAAATACTGCTTCCCTCAGGGGCTAACCCAAGCTCCCTCTTTAGTGAGTAAACTTAAATTTCTGCTGTAACTTGAGCTGCAGATTGCAAATATTCAGAGAAACTGCCTTTGCAGCCTCGGAAGGGAGACTCTTAGTGACTCATTCACTTTGCCTGAAGTCATTTGCTATCCTTTTCCTCAAGTGCAGTGCAGGAGGCATCCGCAGAAACTGTGGGAGATTCGATTATCCTCAAATTGTAGTGAGCCATAACAATGTTTTGGAGACTTTTAAAACAGAAGATTCCCGGACTTTGCCCTCCCTCACCTTTAGTTATCTGGTCTGGTGTGGATGCTGCATTTTTACCAAGCCCTCCAGGTGGTTCTCATGCTATTCATTCACAGATCACATCCATGAACACTGGGAGCAAGAAAGTGAAAGCTGAGTTGGCAAGGAAGAGGGTGGTGTGAATTACAAGGTCAAGACTGCTGTGTGCCAAGTACGGCTTGCATCAACTTAACAAATGCAGAGAACGTTTACTGTTAAGGGAGCCTACTAACACCACCTGGCTTCTAGAAGCCTCTCAATAATTGGGAATTAAAACAAATGCTACTTTTTTATCAACACTGCCTTGTTGTGCCAATATTACCACTCTGATATTAATAGTATCTGTTCCGCTGCTCATAGCACTGCTATTTATGACTACTCCGGGCTGATCTGTGCCCCTCCAATTTCCTACGCTGAAGTTCTAACCCTGAAAACCTTAGAATGTAACCATACTTGGCAACAGTGTTGTTAAAGAGGTGACGAAGTTAAAAGGAGGTCATTAAAGTACGCCCTAATCCAACATACCCCCATCCTCATAAAGTTTATGCATTTTATAAAGTTCAGAAAGACTTTTCTGAGAGTACAAAGGGAAGCTATTAATAATTATATCGGGATGTACCACGATAACAGTCATATATGAAGACTGTCCGGGCCAACTGGGAACTGCATTCACCCTACCTATAAGGCATATGGTTGTACTCCAAATGTCCACCTAGGTTCCACTTCATGGCATTTGGCCAGAGGAAAGAGAGCCCATCTGAAGATAAGGTAAGGTAAAATAACACAGCCTTCATACTTCTTCTCTTCAACAGCATGTAAGTTCATAATTATTATATTATTTTGCTGATCATATTTTTATTAATATAAAAATACATTTGGGGAATTTCCAGTAATGGCAGAGAGTAAGTAGTGAGGCAAACCCTTTCACATCTCACCCGAGGAGATTTGGGTAACATTTCAACTGCTATTTAAAGGCCGTGAAAAGCATGCTGAAGTGGATGGCTGTTGAAAAACTGCAACTGGAAGGGATAAGAATTGGGAGTTTAAACTGTCGCTGCCAAAGCACGCTTCCAGTCCCCAGGATTACTGGGTAGAAAACCACACGTGTAAGTGAAAAGTTTTTTATCATCCTCTAGGTTCCAAAGAAACTGTGTTTAAGAAAATTTGCCTTTATACATGTTTATCTAGATACTTTTACTTACTTATATTTTACAGGCTTACTATCTTGGCTTGAGATCACGTCAAAGAGAGTTCAGGGATGGAAAAGTATCTAAAACCAGGCAAAAGTCAATGAAGCTTTTCTCCCCCTTGAAAAGCCGTTATGGAAAGGGTAAGCATTTTGAGTTTAGTTTTCTCTCTCGACCAAACATGCTTCCTAAATGCAGCCTTTTTTCATTGGTTAAAAATGGCAGAGAGAATACAGTGTTGGAAAAGAAGCTGAAAGTTTAAGGGGGAGATTCTGGAAGTGAGAGGAAAAAAAGGAACAGATCCCTAAAGCAGAATATAAACTCTGCTTACAAACTCCAGGCAGCCCCTCAAACTCCATGTTTGCCGGGAAGACCTAAAAGGGGCTGGGTAAGAGGTACAGGAGGCAGACTGACACCAGAGAGACATTTATCTCTGAAATACTTTGTTTCACTGGGAAAAATTTTGTGAGTTTGCTGCATTTTAAATGAAAGGCATTCCCTAATCTGTGCACAGCTCAGATGGCAGAAAACCAGATTTCTTGGATTGAGGTGTCAGAAGACAGAGTTGGAAATTGGAGGAGAAACAAAAACTTAGGAGGATTTTCCAAAGGCAGTGAATCCACTGAGAGTGCGAGTCACAAAATTTGAAGGTAAACTTTGCCCAAATGCTTGAATGATCACCAAACTCTACAGGCACAGGGAAGATTCACAGGGGACCAAACTGGATAAACAAGCATGGTTTAAAATTTGAGCCCAGAGAAGTTAACTGCCTGTTTAAAACTAAAAAATTAGACACGCATCCTTTGTTGGTATGGTGAATGCACAGTCAATACTGAAACAAACACAAGGAAATGGGGATGGCCACTGTGTGCCCCCCGGTATAGCCCGGGATAAGATACCCTGCCCTCCCTGTCTTGCCTCTAAGTGCACTGGCTCTTGAGCAAAACACCTGCTTCACAATTTACCAGCTGTTTGAACTTTAGGAAACTGCTTAACTTCTGCGCTCTGCTTTTTCATCTCTGAAAGGGTAATAACAGTACTACCTGTTTTGGTTATTTGTGGGGATTAAATGAGTTAATACACATCAGGCATTTTTAAACAAAGTGCATCATGTTAGGTATTATGACAATTACAATATTATTGAGGATGACAATAGTACAGACCTTCAACATTTACATGCCATCCCAGGGTTAAGGAAGAGGTTGTAGGGAGCCATCTTGAATTTATTAAAAACATTCTGAATTGGCTTTGATTATGCTAAATTGCAAAGTAACAGAATAGCAGCACAAAACATAGTTACATGGAAAAAAATTATATTTATCCTTGTACTGCTATATTTGTTGGTTCTCATGTTGCTAATAAAGACACACCCTAGGCTGGGTACTTTATAAAGGAAAGAGTTTTAGTTGAGTCACAGTTCCACAGGGCTGGGAAGGCCTCAGGAAACTTACGGTCATGGCAGAAGGGGAAGCAAACACGTCCTTCTTCACATGGTGGAACAAAGGAGAAAAATGAGAGCCAGGAAAGGGGGAAGACCCTTGTAAAACCATCATACCTCCTGAGAACTAACTCACTGTGATGAGAGCAAAGTAGGGGAAACCACCCCTATGATTCCGTTGTCTCTACCTAGTCCCTCTCATGACACACGGGGATTGTGGGAACTACAACTCAAGATGAGATTTGGGTGGAGACACAGCCAAACCATATCAACAGCTGAATTAGATTTGTATTTACTGCTTACACACCCACATATATACATGCTTGCACACACACTCCTGTGTGCTGTTAGCTTACAGAGGGTATACTGGATATCTTGTTTTTGGTCTATTTTATTAGTAGTTTAGTTATAATTTTGGCTCTTTTAATCCAAAAATTCAGGAAGTGATTTTAAAATCTCTAACTTTTAAGGCTTTTTCTTTTCTTTTTATAAAAATACATTTCTAATGTTAGTGAATTCTGGTCAGGGAATGCAGTTGACAAAACACATTAAAATAGTTTCAATTCTACTCAGTTATTATACGGTTAAACTTCCTTCCCTGTTCACTTATGCACTCAAATTTTTGCTGCTACTTCCTTTGGATATCTTGCCTGTTAACCATAGGGGTAAAGTGATGAATAAAACTCAACTTCTCTTCTTAAATATCTCATAGACCACTAGAGATAAAGACAGACACCTTTTAAAGTAGAAATCGGCCAGGCGCGGTGGCTCAAGCCTGTAATCCCAGCACTTTGGGAGGCCCAGGCAGGTGGATGACGAGGTCAAGAGATCGAGACCATCCTGGTCAACATGGTGAAACCCTGTCTCTACTAAAGATACAAAAAATTAGCTGGGTGTGGTGGCGCGTGCCTGTAATCCCAGCTACTCGGGAGGCTGAGGCAGGAGAATTGCCTGATCCCAGGAGGCGGAGGTTGCGGTGAGCCGAGATAGCGCCATTGCACTCCAGCCTAGGTAACAAGAGCGAAACTCCATCTCAAAAAAAAAAAAAAAAAAGAATGGGAAGTCATTTTCTAACAGACAGTGGAGAAAGAAATTCTAGGAACAATGAAGAATATGTATAAGGTTAGAGTAGCATAAAGAATAAGGGAAATTCAGGGTATTGGAAGTCATTTCAAATTTTTAAGCATGATGGAAGTCAGAAGATGAGATCTGATGGGAAACAAGCTTCAGATTGTATTTTGATTTAGTTCATATGCAGTGAGAGCTTGAAATAAGGGCCTAAGGTGCACGTTGAGAAAAAGGAATAAAGTGTCAGCATACCTGCAAGAGGACTGGGGGACTGGTTTGCAGCGCCAGGGTAGGGAATATAGTGTGGAAGAGTATGTGAAACCTTGGGAAAGGTCAGGTATTTGGAGGGTCCCAGGCTTCCTCTGATTTCTGGTCTAGATGGATCATGACTTTATCAATAGTGGTGACTTTTTTATTTTAATAAGAAAGTATAAGCTGAGAAGGAGAAGGATAAACCAGTTTCTATACACATGGACTTCAAACTCCCTGTGGGATAGCTCCTTGGTGCTGTCAGCTGGGAGGCTGGGAACATGACTTTGGAATTCCAGGTTTGAATTCTGGGCTGGTAAACTGTGCTTGGAAAAGACTGAAATTCTGCCAGTGCATTTATGTACAGTGAGATAATCGGAGTCAGAGAGCAAAAGACAGAGGCCTAGGAGGCTGACTCATTTAAGGAATAAACAAAGAAGAGGGATTTGGTAAGCATAACTGTATAAATTAGGGTTCCCCAGAGAAACAGAACCAACAGACAAATACAGTCATGCATCCCTTAATGATAGGGATACATTCTGAGAAATAAGTCACTGAGGTTAGAGTACAATGGCACAATCACAGCTCACTGTAGCCTTGAATTCCTGGGCTCAAGCGATCTTCCTGACTCAGTCTCCCAAGTATCTGGGACTACTCTTTGTGTATACCACCACATTCAAATACTTTAAAATGTTCTTTTGTAGAGACAAGATCTCACTATGTTGCCCAGGCAGGTCTTGAACTCCTGGCCTCAAGCAATCCTCCCTCCTCCGTCTCCCAAACTTTTGGGATTATGAGCATGAGCCACTGCTCCCAACCCTATTTCTTTACATACTTATTCTGTAAGCTTTTATTCTATTATTCAAATTTTTAATATTATTTTTTACTTTTAAAATTTATTTGTTAAAAATGAGGACACAAACACACACATTCGCCTAGTCCTACACAGAGCCAGGATAATCAATACCACTGTCTTCCACCTCCACATCTTACCCCATTGGAAGGTTTTCAGGGCCAACAATCAGCATGGAGCTGTCATCTCCTATGAATCCAATGCCACTTTCTAGATACCTCCTGAAGGACCCGCCTGAGGCTGGTTTACAGTTAACTATGTTTTAATAAGCAGAAAGAGTATACTCTAAAATAACAATAAAAAGTAAAGCGTAGTAATACATAAACCAGTAACAGCCCATTATTATCATGATCAAATATTACTTAGGGTACATATGGTACATGCTCTACTTCTATAAGACTGGCAGCGAAGTAGGTCTGTTTACACAAAAATCACCAAACATGAGGAAAGTATTGCCCTACCCTGTTAAGATGCCTACCACATCACTAGGCAATAGGAGTTTCCCAGCTTTATGATCATCTGATGGGACCACCATCATCTACGTAGTCTGTCATTGACCAAAACATCATCATGTGGCACATAACTGTGTATATACCTATGAGCATACACACATGCAGACACATACACACACACACACACACACACACAGAGGTTTACTCTAAGAAATTGGATCATGTGATTTTTTGAAGGCTGGTAAGTCCAAATTCTCGAGCACTCCAGCTGCAGATCCAGAGAAGAGTTGCTGTTGGAGTCCAAATGTAGTTTCCTGGAAGAATTCTCTTCCGCTCAGGAGAGATCAGTCCTGTTTCTCCTGAGGTTTTTAACCGATTGGATGAGGCCCACTCACACTATGTACAGTAATTTGCTTTCATATTATTTTTTAAACCTTCCTAGAAACATCTAGAAGCATGTTTCAGCAAACACGGAAGACCACAGCCCAACCAAGTTGATGCATAAAATTAACTATAACAGAAACTGAGGAGAATTCAATAAGGAAGACAGAAATTGGGAGAGAGGTTTCACCCAGCTAAGAGAGGAAAGGATGTCAAGAAAAAACCCAAGTGGCCCAGAGTTATTATGCAGGCTGCGAACCAAAAATATGCTGCTGGACAGAGCAACAGGAAGTCATCCTGTGGAATAAGTGTTTGGTTTCACAGAAGCTAGAAAGGCTGTTGAGAAGCTAATAGGAGAGAAATTTGGAGACACTGTATGCTAATTATACCCACTAGAAATTGAGCTTTTGCATAGGAGAAAAGGTACACAGCGATGGCCAAAGGGCAAATAGGGTGATGAGGTTCTGCTTTCTGCTATGAGACTTGGAAGGAAATAAAATAAACCTGCTAAGATTAACACCGTGGCTGATGATAGTGAAAGTGACTACAGCTCAACAAGTTAACACTCTAGCTGTAATTGCAATTTAATAGGGATTCATAGAAACATGATACTCTCATCCTGAAGAGTGATTCTCTAATAGCAAAATTTCAGTGGAAATTGCAGGGACAGGGGCTATTTGGAACACCTATTGATTTCATGTC